TGGTGCTTTGTCCGCCCCTGCACCCACAACACAGCTTATCAGGGACTTGTGGCAAGCGCGTAGCAACATGCGTCAGCTCAGGAGAGGTGCCATGTCCTCCCTCTTTACGGGATGGAGGGAGGCCTTGCGCATACAAAGGCTTCAGAAAGAGTTGCACAAGAGATGTAGGACAAATAAACGAGACAAAGTTGAAGCTCAGCTGCAGACTGCAGAATCAAGCAAGCGACCTGCTGAAATTTATCAGGTAGTCAAGCGCTTGGCGCCCAAGTCTCGCCGTCTGAGAGTGCAGCTTCGTGATGGGGAGGGCGCGCTCATGTCGCAGGAAGGCGAGCTGAAGGCCATCACTGATTACTTCAAAGGTATCTATGGTCCTGATCCTCCTGCAAACTCCCCTTGTGGGCCTATGAGCCGTTTCACTCTGGATGAGGTTCTGGAGGCCCTGCACAAACTTCAACCTAGTAAAGCCCTTCCTCCACAGAGTGCACCTGCGGTGCTATGGCGCGTTTGTGCTGCAGAAGTTGCACCTGGCATACATCGTGCTCTTGAAGCATCGTTGCAACGTGTAGCTCCCTGCCTCCCCGCCCGATGGCATGACATTACTGTTTGCCTGATACCCAAGGTTTCAGAAGTCCGGATGCCTAAGCAACTTCGTCCAATCTGTTTGCTGCCGCCGGGGAGCAAGATCGTAGCAACCATGTTGGCCGACAAGCTACGCGATCACATCGCATTGTATATGCAAGCCATTCCTCAGTTTGCTTACTTGCCTAAGCGATCAGCAAATGATGCTCTGCTGCGTGTCTGCTCGCATCTCAATCTTGTGAGGGATTTGGCTTCTAATGCGAACCCTTCGCTGCATGCTAAGCATGCTGGGGCGAAGACCCAGAGTCTTCGTGGAGGCGTGGCTCTGAGCCTGGACGTCAATAAGGCTTTCGATGCCTTACCCAGAAGTTACCTGCATCAGTCCATGCGGCGGGCTTGTATACCAGAGGCGGACATAAACTTGATTCTCCACATTCATGATGCTGCCCGCATGGTGTATCAGGTGGGAAACCACCATGCCTGCGTGAATCTTAACCAAGGAATCAGACAGGGGTGTAGTTTGTCACCCCTTTTGTGGGCTGTCAGCACAGCCAGTCTGTATCTAGATCTTGTTAAGAATCTCCAGCAAGCAAGCCTGCCAATTGGAGAGCCAACAATGTATGCTGACGACATTTTCTCGGCATGGACTGTAAGCAAACTCTGTGATCTGGCGCCTGCTGTCCGGGCTATGGGTATCTTAGTTGAAACTCTGGAACAGGCCGGTCTGAGCCTTAGCCTTGAGAAAACTGTTGCACTCATGTGCCTGCGTGGGGGAGCAGCCCAGTCTCAGTTGGCTAAAGTGTGCCGCAAGGATGGTGAAGGTCACAGAGTCCTTCAGATTCGAGTTTTTCAGCGCAGGATACGAGTCAAAGTCAAATCCACCCACTTGTACTTAGGTGCACAAATCGGATATCAGAACTTTGAGCTCTCGAATCTCCAACATCGTATGAATGTTGCATGGGGTACCTTTTGGCGCCTACACTCCATCCTGCGCAGCCGGGCGCTGAAGCTGCGTACGAAGATCAGGTTGTGGAGCGCCTGCGTGTTCAGTGCTCTTAGGTACTCACTTGTCAGTGTTGGACAGCCCACGCAAGGACGCGCTCTCATCACCACGATGGTAAATAAGCAGCTGCGTATCATTTTGAAGTCCCCGGCGCACATACGCCGAACGACGGCTGTACAGGTCCGAACGGCTTGCCGGATTGACGACCCGTGGTGCTTGCTCCAAGCAGACCTTGCCAATAGGACTCGCCTTCCTAGACTGTTCAACACTGAACATTTGCAAACTTGGCTGGCTAGGATCGCTCACTCATACGAACAAGTGCCGAGTAGCCACGATGGGGAAAACAAACAGAACCGTGCTCTCCTTCATCCGGTCAATAGTGTGCACCACTTCCGTGAAATCTGCTGCCCCGTGTGTGGCATTGAGTTCATCTCGTTGTATGCGATGAAATCGCATGTAACGAAGGAGCACCTGCGAGCCCTGCCTGATGAAGATATGGACCCCTTACAGGATTTGATTTTGGATATGTACTCAGATGTCACCAAACGTACTCCGGTGCTCACAGCTTTGCCTGGACCTCTGCTTGAGACAGATGCTCACACGCAGTTTGTGTACATGCATGCGCTTGGCGGTATGGCCACCTGTGTTCACTGTCGCCGGAAGTGTAAGTCGTGGCACGACCTCACAGTTCACATCACCTCTAGATCCTGTCGGGCGTTGTTCCCGGATGGCCTTGTGATGCAGGTCCCTGTTCAGAATCCCAATCCGATCCCGACTGCATTTGATCCGGAATGCCAAAAGAAGTTTAGGCAGGGCTGGGAGCATGGCGCCAAATGGATTGCCACTCAGGGCGAAAAATGGCTTCATCACTGCCCTTGGTGCATGCAGTGGATTGCGGATACTAAAGCCATGCACACTCACATATCGGCCAAGCATCCATGGCTTGAAGCATGCTTCGTGAGTGCCAAACTCTGGCAGTTTCAGCAGCGAAAGGCCTTAGTCCTGTGCTCTCCGTGCCGCTACTGCTGTAGGACCTACAGGGGCCATCCCGTCAGACATGCCACTGAGTGTAAGTCACTGCTGTTTTCCCACATGCTGGCACAACAAAGTTCCACTGCAGAGTGCGCGCAGGAAAATGACACTCAGCCCAGAGGAGAACGCGAAGAAGGAGCTGGAAGACGCCACGATGGAGCTTGGACTGCTGGCGTCAAACCTCCGGCAGTTCCAGGGCACGGAGGGGGGTCTCATAGGGGCCCTAATGGGCTCCACCGGTTCTGGTCTGGACGGAGACCAGAGGCAGGCGAAGTGGCAGAAGGACCAGTCCAAGGGTCAGAACGGCAAAGGATGGGGGGTGAATGGACGGCAAAAGCGCCCGTTTCAGAACAACCAGCAGGGCGGAGGGACAGGAACATCCTCCAATGGCTTGGTGCTGTCGCCAGACACCATCCAGATGCTCATCAAGCTACTGCTCCGACACGAGGACCAGCTGGCGACGTTCCGTTTGTCAACGGCTTGGGTCTTCTTTCTGTCAGCGGAGAAGCCGGTGGAGATCATCGAAACGCTCTTCCTGACGGCCACGCAATGGAAGAATCAGAAGCTCAACGACCCCAGCTCGCTGACCAATCCGATGCGTGTCATCCTATTCCAAGCCACGTGGAAGATGCTACACACGAGAACGGAGAACATTCGCACGAAGGAGGAGGCCAAGCAGCAAGCCATCGAAATGGGCCTCTACGACGAGTCCAAGGGATTCCCATACCAGACTTGGAATGCCAAGGACAAGAAAGCCCAGATCGACGAGAGCAAGGACCCGCTGCCGCTGGACAAGGTGCTCGAGCTGACGGCGGAGCTCATGAAGTTGGCGGTGGGCAACGGAGTGGTCACCAGATATCACTGCACACGCCCCTTGACGGAAGACATGCAGGGCAAGATGACAACATGGCTGATGGAAGTGGGGTTGCGAGACAGCCGCTGCAACCGCATCTGGGAGATCCTCGCCGTGTTGAAGGGCAACGCATCGCTGAAGCTGATCGGAGGAGCCATTCGCGAGGAGCGCCTCCAGCGAACTCCGCTCGCACAGTTGCTCGCCCAGCAGCTGAAGAGGCAGTCCGTAGACAACTCCTTCTGATTAAACTGCAAAACCCCTCTAACTTCTGTTACTCGCATGCGTGCTTACTCGCTTATTTATGGACAGCGACAACATTCGGTTCCCTCAGACAGGCAGTGAAGCATCATGCAGTCTTTCAGCTGCTTCAGACAATCCTGTCAGCAACTCGGCCGGTCAATCTGTGGAGCAAGATCCAGTGGAGACAAGCCCTCAGGGAGTGGTCCCAGCCAGGTCGGCAGCATGACGCTGCGGATTTCTTGCTCGTGCTGGATGGCCAACTAAAGGCGGACTGCTTCAGGACGGATTGGTTAGCTTTCAGTCAGGAGCACGGGGGGTGTATTGATGTAGGCTCATCTTGCCCACTGGCGCTTACTGCGGTGCATGCAAATGCCTCAGTCCCTGATGGAAGTAGTGCCTCAGATGTGGTCTCGCTACAGAATGTTGTGACTCTGTGGCATCAGCAAGATGCCATCCATGCTCTTGCTTCAGGTGCGCAAGCCTGCGCGCTGCAACTGAGTCGTTTCAGGTTAGTGCAGGGCACTGCTAGGAAGGTCCTTTTCCATGCCTTGACTCCACATGAAATCCAGATCCCTGTTTGGCAAGGGCCCGGAGTGGTCCACACAACTTACTGCCTCCAGGCCATGATCGTACACATAGGGGAGTCGATGCATGCGGGGCACTATCGTTCTGTCCTGGTGAGGGGTGACAGAAGATGGTACTACACGAATGACAATGCCGAAGCTGTGCTCGTTCATAGAGACACTGATTTCCAAGAGATTGCGCAAAATGTGTACATCGCTTTCTATGCTCGCAAGTGATTCGTGGTCCAACGTGAAGCTCTGGATTGTGGTGTCACCACGCCGAGCGCCAACATAGATCAGGATGGGATTGTGGTTTACCCGCGCCGTCCTCAATTTCTTTAAACACTTTTCACGCCTCTCTCTCGAGGGAGTTGGGCTTTTCCTGTAGGTTGCTTAAGGGCTCTTCGGAGCGGGCCTACAGTGTTGCTGGCAATAGGCCAGGTGGTAGTCACCAGGAACCTGTCCTGCTAACAGGTCGCTTAGCACTGCTTCTGTCTCTACAGTGGGACTCAATGCACCGAGTGCTGCGCTCGA